CTAAACTAAACTAAACTAAAGGAAAAGTCCGGTCAGCAAAGAATAATCAATGGATCATTATCTATACCTAAAACTAAAACGTCCGCAGTGATTTAATAAATTAAGTGTTAATCAGTAAAACAAATAAAAACTATATATAAAATATTTTTCGTCACGATTACTGAGTCCTGGAGCGGCCATTTTTGCCCAAACAATACCATCTCCCTTCTGCCATCGGGTAAAAGGGGAAAAAATGTTTGTAATTTATATATTTGCCATCGAACTTCTGGCCAGAGAAAAAACACGTAATATGTAGCCAACATTTGGAAGAAGAATGTTTTCAAGATGACTTTGTGCGCGTTGTGACAAACACCAGATACAGAACTGGGACTTGATCAACAGCCGATACCGCACCGTGACGTCACTAACCAGTAGGTGGCAGTATTGTTCTTTGACAAACATGGATGCCTCCAGTAAAACACATTCACATGAAAATTACTCTTAATTAAAAACACTTATTTATTGAACAGTGTGTAATAATTTCATATTTAAAGTACTTTCAGAAGGTTAAATTCTGAATATAACCGGACTTTTCCTTTAAGACAGTGAAATAATTTAGAAGTGAATCCCAGCAGCTTTGTTTTGTCTCTCTTGCCTCCAGTTACACGTGTCTGGTGCTGCTGATGACCAGTAAGAGTCTGGGCGAACAAGAATTGACGGCCCAGCTGTACAACAATCTCGCCGCCAGCAGCCTTCAGGACCAAATTGGAGACATCAGCGTAAAAGTCATAGGTCAGAAACTAGACTATTTAGAGATCCAGAAAAACTGTAAACACAGATTTTAAATGTTCGTTCAAGAAGGAAGTCATGAGAAAGCAAATAAAAACACATTCACTCCTTTGATTTATTACAGAAAGCTGTTCTAAATTTTTACTTATTCTCCTTTATTCTATCATTGAACTGGAACAAGATGCGTTTCGTCGACTTTGATTCTTTAATCATGTGTTTTTCAACCATCCTCACAGAGAACTGCCCCAAGGACAACCACCTCAGCTACCTGTGGCCTGAGACCAGTCCCAGAGTCACGCAGTACCTGCCCTGCTTCCCCACCAAAGACCAGAGCATCTCCAGAACCTGGTAAAAAAAATAAAGCTGTTATGTGAAAGTAAAACCATGTTGGTTTTATTGTAGGACTCGATCAGCATGACCCATTCCCTTTTACGAAGGAAAGTAGTAATATGCTAACCTGACTCCGCCAGATGGATTTGCTCCACATATCCATCTGGAAAC